ACACCATTCCAGCACATAATTAATCAGATTTCTAAGTTACATGCCATAATTGACCCTAATCATGAGATTGCGTTTCCTGATATTCCAGAGAAAGATCTTCAAGATGTGTTAAAGGTAATCTTAAATTTTAATATTTACCCTGTAGTATATAGATATGGAAAGGTAATATTTCTTATAATTAATTGATTCATTAACAGAAAGAGATTAACTGATTGGAATCATATGATTGACTTCGTTACAACTAGTCTAATAAATTGTTTACTTGATTAGCTTGTTAAGGCATATTCACTTTGAAGGTGCTTGAAACTTACAAATATTTGGATATTTGCCAGAGTGATTTAAGGGAAATAATCTTGTTATTGCCATTTGAGTAGAATATGTAGAAAGCAACTTCTGTAATATGGTATAATCTGAAAAAATATTGTACCAACATCACATAGGAACATTTGCTTTTGTCTTAAAAAATTCATTCTTTATATCATAGTGTTGTTTAATAAGGGACCCTAAACAGAGGATATCTATTCCTGAGCTCCTGGCGCACCCGTATGTTCAAATTCAAGCTCATCCAGGTACTTCTTTCTTTGTTGTTGGTTTTTTTTTTTTTTTTTAATCTATTTGCTACTAAAATACAAATGTAAATAGCCTTTTAACTATGACAAAAACAATCTGAATTAGCTGTTCTTTTCCAGTCTGTCTCCTCCCTTAAAGGTGTTCCTGTTATGCTAAATAGTAAAGTAAATGAAATTGCTTTTCTTTACTTGCTGGCATTTATTTTACTTGTTTCTAGGTAAGGGGCTATTATCGGTGATAAGTTACAAGAATGCAATTATTGTGCTGTGAATGAGAATGTATATTTACATATTTATATGTGATCTTATTTTTTCTTACTGATAACAGTGTGTTATTTGTTACATGTGTCTTATAGGTAACCAAGTGGGTAAGGGAACTACTGAAGAAATGAAATATGTTCTGGGCCAACTTGTTGGTCTGAATTCTCCTAACTCCATTTTGAAAGCTGCTAGAGTAAGTATGCTTATTCACTATCTGCATTAATTGTAACTATTTTGTATAGTTTAGTAAGTTAGACACTTAAAAGAAATAGGTAATCCAAACAAAAGTTGAGCCATTCATCTGACACATTATGAAGTATGTTTCTACATTTAAATACTTAACCATATGCTTCCTAACAAATAGATTTATATTCTTACTGTATAAACAGCAGTTCAGACTGGACCACTCTTAACACAACTTTTGGATTCATTCTTTATAGTTAGTTTTTTTCTTTTTCTATTTTATGTGCATAATCGTGTGAATTCTTTTGTCTGAGGATCAAAGAAGCCTTTTTTTTTAACTTTTTATTATGATTAGAGTGAAAGTAGTTCGTACACATTTTATTTTATAACATTTACTGCAATGCTGTATAACAGCATTCTTTGTACTTCCTCCCTGTGTTTACCATTTCCATTCATCTTTCTTTCCTATCCCTTTCTGCCTTATGAGCTTTATCTCTGGAAAAATGCTGCCCTTTTAATCTCGTTTGGTTGATTGTTCTATAGAGTGCATACCTCCCTAGTGTTATGGTTCATCTTACAGGCCTATCATAATTTGGCTGAAAATGGAGCCACAGGGGTGAGTTCAGTTCCAGGCTTGAAGAATATCTAAAGGCTATGTAGTCTTGGAGGTTCCACCAGTCTCTATTAGACCAGTAAGCCTGGATTTTTTTCTTTTCTTTTTTTTTTGTTTTTGTTTTTGAAGTTTTATTCCACATTTATCTCCCACTTTATCTAAGACCTCCTATTGTGATAGCCAGGCACCATTTAGTTCTTCTGGTATCAGCATCATGGAGACTGGGGTTCACATGATCCATTAGTCCTTTGGACTAATTGTTTCCATGCATCTCTGATTTTTTTCACTCTTCTTTGCTTCGTATGGAGAGAGACCAATAATTGCATTTTAGATGACCACTCACACATTTTTAAGACCCCAGTTGCTGCTCATCAAAGTAGCATGTAGCACATTGTTTTTGTGGACCTGTGGACCATGTTATGCCAGTCAACCTTGATTTCCCCCGAGACTGTGGTGCAGCAATGCATTTCCTGAAGAATAAGGGAAGTTTTTGTAACTTTGCCCCCTGTATCAATTTTTTTTCCTTAGACTATCTTAGAGAAATCACAGTACTTAAGACGTAGTAATTGATATGTATGGCTTCAAAGCAAATGTCTCAAGTCTTTTAGTCTTCTGGTGCTTATGTATATGTACACCATGATTTTCAGACCTCACTGTAATCAAACATCTAGTGATTTCTAGAACCCTATGAATACTAGCTAGTTTACTTAACCAAACCATAAACTAGTTTACCTAACTAAGCCATTACTAGTTATAATTCAGTTATATCACTATTATAAAAATTACAGGAGCTCAAACTAAAAAGTTCTTAGCTCACTAGGTAGGGGTAAAGCCAATCTAAGGTGTTAGAACTTGGACACATTTCTGAAAGAATTTACTAATACATTCACTATTATATTTGCATTCATATAAGAAAAGGAAAAAATTCCCTTAATTTTCTCAAGTGCTGACAGATAAATCAATGGCTTTAGGAATTAAAATTGGATATTTGTTTTATAAATATGCTCTATACTTAATCTTCATGGTTTAAGTATCTACCAATATATTGTTTAAATCCTTTTATAAATAAAATTCAGGTGGATTAATCATCTTTGAGGTCCAAGATGTCGGTCATCTGTCATCTTCATAATTAAATGTCGGCTGATTTTTTTAAAATCCATAGAATTTAATATACTTAATTATGCTTATTTATATAACAATTTGTTTTTCAATATCTCCTGTTTATTAGTTTAAATATCATCCAAAATTAATTAATTTAGTACTAATGAGTATGTTTTAACATTATAAGAAGTTATATTAGACAGACTTTATTGAAGAAAAGCTAATGGGGATCTAGAAGACTTGGGAGGTTCATATGTATGTTTACTAATAGTTGTGTTGTATTTCTCTTATACAGAGACCAAGTTAGGTATTTAAAATTATCTGTTATTACTCAGTTTCAATTATTATAACAAGAGAAAGAAATGTATTATATTTAGAATATGTAGATTTATCTTTTTTAATCTAGCAATACATTAAATTTTTTAAATTACAGAACAGATTTGTGTATTTTTAATTTCAGACTTTATATGAGCAGTACAGTAGTGGTGAAAATCATGATTCTTCTTCATCATCCAATCCTTTTGAAAAAAAATGGGGAAAGAAATGATTTGCCACTACTCATAGACTGTTGAATGACATCTGTAAAGTGTATTGGACTATGGTACTCTTGATTATCTTTGGAAATCTACTCTTGAAGACGACTTCACTCTGAAATGTTATCAGCAGAAAAATTCAGTAGATTATCCCCGAAAGAAGACTGTAAAAATAGCAACCACTAATGGCACTGTATATATTGTATTGTAGAATTTCTTGTTTATGCTTTCCTGTAAATCTTATGTTATTTTACATTGGCAGTAGTGAGGACAATTGAAATACATTCTAAAGGTCTGTGTAAATAAAGCTTGTAACATAAAATTACACTAAACTTTCAAAGTTACAAAATTGTTTTCTAAAAGCAAAAATATTATTGGCATTGTAGTAAAATTCTTAATAAAAATTGTATACCAGAAAGAAAAAATATTAGACTTCAGTAATCAAACTGAAAAGAAAATCCCAAAGGATTTGAGTTCTAAAATAGATTTCCTAATTGCTTTATAGTACAGAACCAGAAAAGAACCTAGTTTTAGGGCTGCACTTGGCTCTTTCAGTTCACTCTTTTATAGTATCTTGTTTTTGTGTTTAGCGTATACTGGTGGATTTTGTGGCAGAAGTTATAGAGAGCATGCCTTTATTGTATGAGTTATGTGGTAATGAGTAATTACAAATGTGGCTCCAGAATCTCATGGGTTAGTTAAAGATAATATCATATGGTATTGTTTCCCCTAAATTTTAATCTTACTCATTGGTTTATAGGGTTATTGGTTTTAAGTTAATGTCATGTCTGACTATAATATATACCTAGCCTTCCGTTCAGGTTAAAGCTGCAGTTTTGTTCATGGAGAAGACAATGGTCCAAATGCAACCTCAAGTCAAAAATTTATCCCACATGTACCCCTTGAAAAATTTTTTTTTTCTTTTTAAAATAATTGGAATTTACTATATGTAAAAACCCATTTTTTTGAATGCTTGTCATATTAAGAGTTTGAAATTTTCATATGGGAAGGAAACATTCAAAAGTTTTATCTGTTACCTGGGCTTAGAGTAAATAACTCAATCTGTGTAAAACTCACTCTAAATGTTGTTATTTTTTTTTTAAATTAAGCAGCTGAGAACTCTTAACCTGGATTCAGGCATTTCCTGGAACATCTTCATCTTGTCCAAATTGAATCAGCTACTTCCTAACACTGAATAAGTTACAGAAGGCATCTGAGATCTCAAGTCAATGTGTATCTACTATCTACTAGTTTGACAGTCTTTATAGTAAATAATCTTACATAACTACTGAATTTCAGGGGCTAGTATTTGCTAAAATTTTCATTGGCAACTTTATGTTCCTCTGTACTATTCCTAGGCTAAATAAAGGAATTTCTTTGATAGGATTTTCTAAATGTTTAATTTTTTTTTTTTCTCTGAATAAAATACATATATTAGTCATTAAAGTGTGGCTAGGTGGAATAAACACTGGAAAGGACTCAGCGCTAAGCTTTGCCTTTTTTCTAACAAGCTTTCTGAATATCTTTGGGACCTATTTTTCTTTTAGTAAAATTAGAAGAATGGATTGAATGATCTCCTTTCAGTCTTTTTTCTTTTTTCTTTTTTTGCTTTAACAAATAGAAATTTCTTCTCTCACAGTGTAGGAGGCTAGAAGTCCAAATTCAGAATGCCAGCTCTAGGGGTATGCATTCTTTGTCAGCTCTGGAAGAAGGCCCTTTTCTCCTTTCAAGATCTGTGGTCCTGGCATTCCTTGGAGATCTCCTTGTGTCTTAGCATCAGTCTCTCCCTGAGTCTAGGAGGTTCTCAGCTCAAGAGACCCTGAGTCCAAAGGACAAACCCCTCTCATCTATTCTTTCTTGGAGATAGTAGGTCCCTTCTCCTTTATGGAAGGAAGACGGGGCAATCTACTTCTACAGAAGTAGAGATACCACCTCAGAAACCCAAGAAGGGGTTGCTATGAGTCAGGACCAACCTGAAGGCAGTGAGTTTGGTTTTTTTTTCCTCCTTTTCGTCTATGAAATCCTACGTAAAATAAAGTATAAATTAAGATGAAGAATAGTTACTAACATTGGAAGAAAGGAAAGAGAAAATCCTCATAGCATACAGTTGTCCTGCATATGTCTGAATCTAGGAAGCTGAAGTTTACTTGTTTGAGAAATCTTAGGAGAGTACAGAAAAAAGAAGCTCACTTTCTTCTCAGTTTTAAATAAATCCTATACCCAGCACAGTTCCCATAATTTCTAAATTGATTGCTCTTCCTCTCTGAGGAGAAATTCCATGCAAGTACTTGAGTGCTCTCACCTTTTTGCTTTCTGTTCAATCCACTGGTTAAATGGAGCTGTGGCTAGAATGACATAAATATGTGAGTCTTTAAATAAGAATTCCCTGCTCTGAGCTGTTTGCTTTAGTTCCTCTTGATTTTTTTATTATTATTACTTATTTTTTCTTTCTCTATTTAGTGGGGTTAACTTATAGGTGAAAAATCCTAACATTGAGAAGCATGTATCAGAAATTGGGTCAAGTGTTTAGAATACTGTGATGAGTAAACTCGGTTCTTATTTTCCAGGAGTTTTCTGCCTAATAGGAGAGATCTACATCAATACTCATTCCCTTGGGATCTCAACCCAGCTCATGACTAAAGGCCATACACTTGTGCATGATTCCCTTATTTACATTGCCAAGCTAGATTTAATTTCTCTCTTCAGCTCCAGACTCACATTCATTTTGCTACTTCACATCTTCACTTAGATGTTTGATAAACAAAAAGGAGAAAAACCAGTTGCTGTTGAGTCGATTCCAACTCATGGTGACCTTGTATTTCAGAGTATTACTGTGCTCCATGGGATTTTCAATGGCTGTGACTTACGGGAGGAACTTTGGTGGGGCAGTGATTAAAGCTAACCAAATGTTCATCCAAATCATAATAAAAATTAAATGTACTAGGTGCTCTGTGGGAGAAAGATGAGGCAGCCTGCTTCTGTAAAAATTTACATCTTTGGAAACCCTGAGACAATTCTACTCTGTCCTGTAGGGTTGCTAGGAGTCGAAAATGACTTGATGACAGTAGGTTGGGTGGTAGTCTTTTGAAAGTAGATTGTCAGACTATTCTTCCAAGGCACCTCTGGGTGCATTCAAAGCTCCAACCTTTTGGTTAGAAGCTGATCGCTTAACCATTTGCATCACCCAGGGGCTTGAATATCTGATTGACATCTCAAACTCAACATTTACAAAATAAAATTGATTCCTGTCAAAAGCTATTACCCTCCTAATCTTCCCCATTTCAGCTGATAAGCAAGTCCATCCTTCCAGTTGCTCAAACCGAAAACCTTAGGAATCATCTTTAACTCTTCACATTTTCTTACAGCTCACATCCATCCTTCAGGAAAGGTTGCTCTGTTTTCAAAATAAATCTGAATCTGATCATTTATAGCCACTTCACTTCTACCAAACTGCTCTGAGGAATTATCTTTCACCTGGATTACCATAACAGCTTCCTAACTGGTCTCCCTGCTTCTACCTTATACTGTTTACAACATGACAACCAAGCTAATCATTTTAAAACAAGTCAGTCTTCTCACAATCCTTAAATTAATAGTTTGTTAGGTGCCATTGAGTTGGTTCCAACTTACAGTGACCCTTTGTACAACAGAACAAAACACTGCCTAGTCCTGCACCATCCTTACAGTTGTTGCTATGCTTGAGCCGATTGTTATAGCCACTGTATCTATCCATCTTTTTGAGGGTCTTTCTCTTTTTCTGTGACCCTCTACTTTAGTAAGCATGATATCCTTCTACAGGGAATAGTCCCCCCTGATAATGTGGCCAAAGTACAAGAGACAATTTCACCATCCTCACTTCTGAGAGTTCCTGGCTATACTTCAAAGACAGATTTATTTGTTGTTCTGGCAGTTGTTGGACTCTTACTGGTTCCAGTTCAGCAGTCAGCTGGGGCTACAATCTCATCTGAAGCCTGGACTGGGGAAGAATTTGCTCCAAGCTCATTTATGTGGTTGTTAGCAGGATTCACTTCTTTTCAGGTTGTTGAACTAATGGCCTCAGTTCCTCCCTGGCTGTTGGCCAAAGTTCTCCCTCAGTCCTTGTCTCATGAGTTTCTCCATAAACACAACTCATGATATGGTAGCTGGCTTTATTCAGCAAGCAAGCTAGCACATGAGAGAAAACCCCCAAGATACAGGAGCCACAGTCTTTTGTAACCTAGTCTTGGCATCACCTCACTGTTTTGCCATGTTCTACTTGTTAGAAGTGACTCAGTAGGTACAGCCCACACATATACAAGGGACTTCCTTGTATACAAGGCTGTCAATTTCAGGAGGCGGAGACCATTGTGGGCCATCTTAGGCTCCCTGCTACAAATTGTTAGATCTTTGATACCTTTGTGATTTAGTTTTCTTCTATCACATAAAAAATTTTAAGTTCATCTGCTGAGTATTGCTGTAAATGAACTTTTCCCTTTTTAAAAATAGTGTTATCATGTATACATCCTTAAACCACATACTGGCATCTCCTATTTAATCTGTTCCTAAAATCAGAAGTACTGCACAAAGAAAAAATTAAAAAAAAAAACACTGACCAGGAGCCCAGGGGAGTCGCATAAGACACACTTAATTTTCTCAGCAATGAGTTGTGACAACACATGTGAAATGATGTCTACTGGGGAAGCTCAACACAGACTATATGCTCAGGGTTTTTATTGGGAGGTGGTCATGTAGACACCTGCTCTGGATTTAACTGCATCCTTAAAAATGTGTGTCAACTTGGCTAGGCCATCATTCTCATTGTTAAGTGCTAAAGAGGCAAAGAGGCCACATCTCCTGACCTCCTCTAACCCCACAAGAGGAAGACAGAATCACTATTAGTAACCCAAGGCCTATTCCTGCAAGGCCAGACATGCTGCCTCCCTCCAGCCCTTTCACCAACCATTCAACCCAAAGCACCCATCACCTCTCTGCTGGGTTCGATAATTCACTGCAGTGGCCACAAAGAACTCACAGA